GGTCGACCTTTGAGCACGCTATATACTACGGGCTGCAGGATAGTGTGGGCAACATTATGAGAGCCCGGGGGGGACCAGAATTTTGACAGACTACCACGGTGCCCCAAGAGTAGTTTCCATTTTCTTGTCCACTATCCCTATTCCCTAAAAACCTGTTCTATAGTAGTTTCCATGTTCTTTTCCATTATCCCTATATGACCCCCATATACCATATAGTAGTTTCCATGTTCTTATCCATTATCCCTATATGACCCTAGTATAAACCCTATTATACTGTAGTAGTTTCCATTTTGTTTTCCATTATCCCCATATAACCCCAATATAAACCCTATAATCCCTATATAACCCCAATATAGGTTCCCGGGCGGCTCTGGATTTGCTTCGTCCGCATCCTCCTCCACATTGGCCTCGTCATCTGATGCCTCGAGCTCCAGCTCCGGCTGTGGCTCCTGCTGAGGACAGCACAACCGGGGGGCCACCAGACTAAAGCCACCAAAGTCCAATAGTAAAAGAAAGTAGAAAATGGTAAAACATAGTAAAAGCTTCATAGGGTGTAACAAACAGTGACAACATACAGTCTTCGAAAGTGCACGCCCCCCCGGGATTGCCCGAAAGCTGCGGCTTCAGATGGCTTCAGCTTTGCCGTCAAAATCTTCTTGCCGCCAACAAATGGGTGAAATTCTTAGCTGACCCAAGCGCCTCATCCTCCTCTCCCTCGAGCGCCTCGGATCTGCCGATGCTGCAGAATAAGCAGTGCAGGAACGCGTGAAGCAGTCCCAGAATAGCACGCTTCTGACGCACAATTCAGAGACGGCACTCAGGAACCGACACCGTGCTGAGAGGTCAGCATCTGTGTACGCTGCAACATCCTTGCCCACATGTTCAGTCGTCTAGCAGAACATCTCACCCAATGCGCATTCCACTGACACCAGCTTTAGAACCGGACGCTCGCTTCACAGAAAGACTCATTTACAATCAGACAATTTCCAGACTCTGAGAAATTGTTTGGCCACAAAAAGGGCTTTTGGGATCATGAAAGGCTACGTCCAACAGGCCGTTCAATGAGGGCGCCAAGCACTCATACTCAAAGGACCTTGGCAGACAACCATAAGTGGTAATTTCCATAAATTTGGTGACCCCAATACAAACCCCAAAATACTATTCCACCCTGACAATAAATGATCTGGGCACGTAATGCTGGGCACTGGTGTTTTATATGTTGGGACGGGGGCGGGTGTGTGGTTTTTTGTTGAAAGAACTATATTATGGCAGTCCCAGTTATGAAGTTGTAATCCAATGAAGAACCAGTTAAACCACTTAAGATCTGAATGGAACCTACTCAAAATCCAATTAAAATCAAATAAAGATCGATTTTGAATAAAATCAACTGAAATCTAGTAACATCCTAATCAAATGCCTTGGGGTCGAATTAACGATTAGAAATCGGTCTAAATCTATCTAAAATCCATTTAGAATCATGTTAAATCTAATCAGAATCCTTTCATAAATTCATTAGAACCAGTTAAAGTTCGTATGAGAATCAAGTACAGCCTACTTAAAAAAACGAAAATCGACTCAGAATTAATTACAATCGCATTCAAGCTTAACAGAGATTCCGAATGAAAGAAAATCGGAAAAATAAGTCTAGGAAATTGAGGGAATCTCTGCTTCCTTCAGATTCCTTATCAAACCGGCCTACTGACCTCAGAACCTTCCTCATTCAAAGGTTGGATGGCCCCTTATTTACGTGGTCTTGCCCTGTTAGGAAGTGCCCTTCCGGATTTTAAGGCCCCTCTGGATTTGCTATTCAATAGAAAGGGTGATGGAATATTAGGGGAAAGGATTTTTCCAGGGACCCCCCAAAAAGTACCCCTAATTTGGAGAAACCCTGAAGTGACATTGCTGAGATTTTAAGGCAGCTGGCCGATCCAGCAGGCTGTTAAGCCATCTCTTAATTTCAAAGCTCCCAGACCAATGGACTAGTAGTATACTTTAATTCGAATTCCCTAGCTGCTGACATCCGTGAAAATCTAACATATCTGAGTCTAAGCTCCCCAAGCATGAGATTTGATGGTGCTGGAAATTGAACTTCTTAAACACAAGCATCACACTTCAACAGCTCCAAAGTCAATTTCTGAAACGGGCCGTAAACTGGGCCGTTCAGTGGTCATATATGTTCACGAGGCTGTTGTGAAGTGGACATTCTACCGCCAGGGTTGTGGTTGCAAAGCAAGCTAACCAAGCTATTAAAGTTTTGAAGACCCCCTATTTTGGAAATGGATCCTTATAGTAGTCCCTAATCCATTATAGTAGTTTCCATTTTCTTTTCCATTCCTTCATACAGCAATGAGCAACTTCCATCGGCATTCCCCTGGAAGCACGCGCTACAGCCTTGCCGTGAATACTTTTGATGACGGAACTTACTGGGGGTTAGTAGGGAATAAGGGAATATAGTATTTGAGGATTATATAGGGATCATACTCCCATATTCCCTACTACAAATCTGGAAGAGAACGGTCCTGCAGAGGCGGTGTACCTCCTGCCTACCAGTCACGAAGACCTTGCCAAGGCGAGGGAAACAAAACACCATGAGGCACACTACCTCACCAATTCTTGCACTGAAGTCAAGGAGCCAGTATGCTCCCTGGAGGCAGATCTTTGTGGATTTGCAGCACCTGCATGCAAACATTGCATAAGCATCCGCTTCTTGACCAGTAGCCTCACGCGCTGAGTCCGCAACTGTCTTGTGTGCTGCCTGCGGTGGGGAAAGATGCAATGGATACGAGTTATCTATTTACGCAAGACGAAAAGTGGAGCCATGAAAACCAGGATGTAGAAGTAGCGCATGTTGAAAGCTTCCCGGTAAGGATAGCACTTTGATGTAATCCTCATCCGTCCTTCGTGCAAAGTGGACGGTGACCTGACGCTTCCATCCGTTCCCCCATACCACCGAGCAGCGCCAATCCCTGAAGCATGCTCTGGAGCGCAGGCCGGAAATGTGCGAGCATCGATACGCAGCACCGGAGGCGGCGTAGGAAAAAGCCTGGCCACGTCTAAGCTGCACTCCGCCGTCAGATGTCCCATTGCATCTTACCACCCTTCCACAAGTGAAGCGGTGAGAGCAGGCTCAGGAGCTAACTGCAGATTTTCAGTGAAGTCACACAGTCGCAGCGTTGCAGACATGATCACCTTGGCCAAGCTCCACCTCTGTCCTTGTATCGATTTCAGGCAAAGCAAGTATTGGGAGGTGCTGAGCAGCTGGCGAGCTTCAGGGGAGGTGGCGGTAGCTGAGAAGATGCAGCATCTGCAAATGAGTTGCGTCGATTTAGCTAGCAAAAGCCCCGTTAGAGATCCCTTTGCCTGGTTTCGGCCATGGGCCCACCCTGGGACATTCACCCTAAGAGTCCAACCCCAAGATCCCATCCGTGCAAAAACCATTATCCCATACCGGCATCTAAGTGCCATAGTGCCATTTTTATAGGCAAGCCGCCGCTTACACAATTCGGATTTAGGTTTAGGGTTACCGGTGGAGCAGGCACAGCACCTCAAACGCGACTCTGCAAGCCAGCTTCGCATTTTCGTTTCTGGCTACTACTGCCGGTTTGCAGCTTGAACAAAACATGCCATGGTGTACACATAATGTATAAGAGCATAGTAGAGCTTATACACTATACCTTCGAATGTACACGAGCTTAAAAGCTCTTGTGTACTATACTATACTTTTTGTTATATCAACATGTCAGCACGATGGGAGAATCCAAGCACTTAACCCCAACCCCGACCCCGAATTCTATAGGCTGAGAAAACAAATACACACACACACACACACACCACAGAATCAGGACTATCGGGATCTAGGACGGTCAAGTGTTTGTTCATAGGGACTTTTCATAATTAGCAGTGGTGCCTTTAGAAGTAAACAAGAGAGGACACACCGAACTTGTTCATGGAACCTGTCCCGCCGACAATCTAAAGGTTGGAACCGGAGTCTGGCGCCTCCTTCAGCCGCTTTGCGGCGGGACACTGCCTCACAACAGGCAGAATGTTTGGTGCTTGGGAAAGCAACAATCCGCTAAACCCTGAACCCTAAAGTTCCTAAAGCTTAGACTGCTTGCCTCTTCGTAGTCCTTCCGCCGCCGCTGCACGGCGCGAGACAGCAACCCGATCAAGATGTCGCAGTTGACCTGGCCATCAAACCTTGCATACTGTGCTTTACTATTACTACTATTTCTTCTTTTACGACTACATCGCCAGGAATATAGTTTCGACCTAATCGGGTCTCGGGGCTTGTGAGGAGGCCCCAGCATAGGGAAAAAGAGTATGCAGGATGGGC